CTACTAATGAGTGGATGAATACCTTTCATCTAATGCTATAAACAGGCCGGGAGTTTCATGTCAAATCAGACAGGAGGCGACTGCCTCGAGAATCTACAGTTTTTCCACTGTGTCTTTTCAATGTATGGCTGTGTTCCTTTAAAAAAGTAAATAAAAAAAACCTTAATGTTTAAGTGGAGTTTACTTTTGGCTATGCAGCTGTTGAAATGCTAGCAGCTGGAACCACGGTTGTTGACCAGGACAGTGCGTTTGGCCCGGGAGAGGCGTATGTTTCAAAGCAGAGGCACGAATCCACTGCTCCCCTCCGTCAGCTCCCACAAGGCAGATATACTCTCCACCCTCCGACGTGGTCGCCCCCTCTGCGCCCCTCTCACCCCTCCCTGCGCCCCACTCGCCCCTGCTCCGCTCAGGCCCCGACTCGCTCTTGAGGCCCTCGAAATTCTCGTAGGATCCGCCGCCAGGGGTGAGCGTGTGGGAGTCAGACAGCTGGCTGCAGGACCGCGAGTGACCACCAGGGGGAGACCACTCCTCGTAAGCGTTCTCGGAGGATATGGACCGTCTCTCGGCTGACAGGGGGACGCAGTGCTGGGGCAGGGTGTCTCTCATCACTGCAACACGTGGGGACAACGCGTGCGCATGCACACACACACACACACACACACACACACACACACACACACACACACACACACACAGAGATCAGAGGATTTTTAAAAAGTATCAATTGCTTCCACATGAAGAACGTGTAATGGGTGTAATCTGCATTTTTTCAGCCTGGCTTGACTCAGAGCTGAGGGGAATTGCATGAAGGTTGTCACATCTACAGAAGCTGGGAGAGGAAGTGGGTACAATGGATCTGTGCTCTGCAGTAGGAGTTCTCAGCCATCAGTGGTTCCCTAAGATGAACCGCCAGCACTCACCAGTTCGGCTCATTTTGCTTAAAATTCATGTTCGCGGCTCCCACGCCACCAATGTACATCTTCCACTGATTTTAATATTTTTTCCTGATTTTAATAGGTATTTTTGAAACTGCAAGACTTTAAGCTCATGAAAGAAAATGGCTGCTGCATGGCAAATGAAAGCAAGTATAGCATAACCATTGTGTTTTCATGCTCTCAATGAAAGTGAACCTTAAACTAATCAACTAATCGTTTGTTAGAATGAGAACCTTTACCTTCTAACACTAGGCTTTCATAAGTCTTGGCTGTTTTATTTCACACAAGCACACAACTATACAAGGAGACACAAACACACATAGAGGCGCACATGCATGGATTGTGCAGACATGCAGAGACACACATACAAGCATGTACACACACCTGCACAAGGAAACATACAGGGATGCGTACACACACACACACACACACACACGTGTAAACAATGAATTATGCTACAACATTCTGGGAACTCAGAATGAAGCCCCCTCATTGTGTGATGTGACAATAGCCAAAGTCTTTGAAAATCCTTCAGGGACAGATGGTGAATATGGGGTGTATGAAGCTACTTTACCACAGCCCTGATCTGTGTGGAACAACAGCGCCCCCTGGTGTACCTGCTTGTATTTCTCTGGTCAGGCTGGCCCTCAGCACTTGGTGATGGATGATGCCCGGGTGGAGGAAGGGGGTGTAGTCTGGGTGTACCAGCGGGTGATACTGAGAGGGATCCTGTGAGCAAAGGAGGAGCACGTTACCATGGGGCACGAAAGGAGGAGAGGTCCAACATGCCCTCCCCCTCTCTCTATCTCTTAGCCCAACAGGGGCGAGAGTGTAGCATAGTGGTAAGGAGCAGGACCCGTAACTGAAAGGTTGCCGGTTTGATTCCCCACTGGGGCACTGCTGCTCCACCTTTGAAGAAAGGTACTTAACCCACAATTGTCTCAGCAAAATCTCCAGCTGTATAAATGGATAACATCGTAAAAAGACTATAACCGATGTAAGTCACTCTGGATAAGAGCATCTGCTAAATGCCAACAATGTAATGTCTAAATGCCAAAAGATTACAGCTTAAGCCTTCAAACCTTCATTGAATGTTTGCTTTGAATGTGATGTGGCATGACATCACCCAGTTGTCACCCCAGGGCTCACAGCAATAAGGAGTGGAGGAGCCAGGAGGCTGACCTGGTTCTGTAGATTTGGTGATGGTGGTCCTGCACTGTCATGTGTTTAATTTCAGGTGTGTTTATTGAAATCGTGAATCATGAATCTCAGTAACCAGATGAGTGTGCATTAAATGTACCATCAGCTGTGTGTGAACTGTCCACTAGTAAATATATGAAAATGCATTGGCATTAGCGCAATGTGAGTGTAATTGTGTGTTTTCAGCTATCATTTATACTGCACATTGCAACAGATGCACACACACACACACACACACACACACACACACACACACACACACACACTTACCAAATGGCTTAGCCTCTCTATAAGAGCAGACAGAGACAGCTGGAGCAGAGACTCTAGAACCAGCTGGGTGCGAACAATCCTCAAGTCATGATCCAGCTGCTGTAGAGGAAGAGGTTGGAGATTTTGTCTGTGCTTCTACATTTTGCATTTGTGTTTAGGTAACAACACACTTACACACGCACAGACACAGACACACAGATGAAGGCACACGCGCATCGGTACACACAGACACCGGCACAGACACACACACTCGCATGCATGCACCTTCAGCACGCGGTCTCGAACCCTGTGCAGGATGGCAGTAACCTGGGAGGGGTCCACAGAGAGGCGGAGCTTCAGGGTGAGCAGATGCCTGAACATCAGAGCAGCTCTGTCCAACAGCTGAGAGAGAGGGAGAGAGAGAGAGGGAGGGAGAGAGAGAGTGTGTGAGAGAGAGAGAGAGTATGTGAGAGAGAGAGAGAGTGAGAGAGAGATGAGAGAGAGAGAGAGAGAGAAACAGAGAGAGAGAAACAGAGAGAGAGGGACAGAGAGAGAGGGACAGAGAGAGAGAGAGAGCAAAAAATGAAAAAGAAGGAATCCAGGATGAGAGCAGAGAGAGGGAGGGAGTAGGGGTAGAGTGTGAAGGAATAGAGTGAGTGAAAAAGAGAGAAAACAGAGAGGGAGAAAGAGAGATGTGAGTGGATGAAAGCTTGGCATCAACAACTACAGCAGTGGTGGCTGGTGAGCTGGAAACAGGGGAGGCTGAAACATTACCTTAAAATCTATCATTACTTTCAACCTGTTCCCCTTTATCCTCCTTGATTAACAATAAAACAAATAAGTCACAGAATAATTGACACCAATGTGTAAATAGAGTAAATGATTATGCTCTTGAAACAGCGCAGATTGTCTGTAGTTTGTGTGCTATTGCGAAAGGTAATGTTTCAGCCTCCTGTTTCCAGCTCACCAGCTGCCACTGAACTACAGCGCACCAGCGACCTGCCAGATTGGCCAATCTGTGTGAAGAAAGGTCTGTGAATCTGTGTATTTTGCGTAACGTGACAGCCTCAGATCCAGCCCCCGGTTCAGAGATCCTGAGTGATAAACGTTTTGGCACGATGTCAGAGTCTCTGTGAGAGGTTGGGAGGGGCCTGCCCTCGCCTGAACCTCGGCGCAGCTCTCGCGATCGAATCCGCGCCTCCCACCTGCTGCAGCGTGCTCTGGGCTTGGAAGACGAGAGGCCTACACAGGCCGCTGTGGATCCCCCAGCTGGCCTGCAGCCATGCCCGTCCACCTGCGCTCCACTCCAGCATGGAGAGGTACTGCGAAGCCCTGGCTGAACCGAGGCCCAAGCTGCTGAGGGGGCTCAGTAGCTGAAAGCAGAGAGTTGAATGAGAGAGGGGGCTGAGGCCTCCTTTTCATTTTGGATACCTGGTACTTAGTTAAGTTGTTAGCAGGTTAAACAAAATGAGCTTTTCGGGAATGTAAAACAAAAACAGTTGTAACACTAACAGATAATACTACTACTGCTACTAATAATAATACTAATCACAAGACATATGCATTGGGTTGTAACCAAAACTCTTATGCCTTGAAATAGATATGGGGACATAAATTTCAGTTGATTGCAGTCCTCATACTTTGGCCTTCAGCACTGACATGTTAGGCATGGGATATGTGAATGGATTGCTACCATAGCTATGTGTAAGAAATATGAACATACTGTACTCATTAATACTATCCAATAGCAACCTGATAATGGGCGGCAGTGTAGCATAGTCAGGGTCGGCCCAAGCCTTTATGGGGCCCTAAGCAGAATTTGATTTGGGGGCCCCCAAATTGATTAAACCATTAGTATTAGCTAGCCAGCCCGTTAACATAATATTGCATTTTTGTATGATTACCATTGACATAATATAATATATCACAAAAAAACAAAACATTTCAAGCGCTCTTGGGGGCCCTCTGGTGGCCACGGGGGCCCTAAGCAGGCGCTTAGCTCGCTTATGTGTCGGGCCGGCCCTGAGCATAGTGGTAAGGAGCAGGACTTTTACGTGGAAGGTTGCTGGTTTGATTCCCCGCTGGGGCACTGCTGCTGTACCTTTGGGCAAGGTACTTAACCCACAATTGCTTCAGTAAATATCCAGCTGTATAAATGGATTATATGTAAAAACTGTAACCTTTGTAAATCACTCTGCATAAGAGCATCAGCTAAGTGACAATAATGTAATTCATAGTTATACCTTTGGACTAATGACAAGAGATTTTTTGCCTGACAACCAGGTCGCTATGATCATCTGAGGAAAAGCACATAATCGATTCAGTCTATGTTCTTAGTGATATTAACTGCTGTTAACATTACACTAATGTAATGTAAGATGGTCTTATCCACAGCAACTTACATCATTTACAGTTTTTTTTTTCACAATGTTATCCATTTATACAGCTGGATATTTACTTAGGCAATTGTGGGTTAAGCACCTTGCCCAGGGGTACAGCAGCAGCACCCCAAATTGAATCGAACCAGCAACCTTTCGGTTACATGTACCGGGCATCTACCTACAGCTGCTTGCCTGCTTTACAATGTTCCTTCAGTCCCCATAATAGAAATATCCACACCCAAACAGAGACTCGAACCCTGAACCCTCAAGTTAAACGTCTGATGCTCTACGGACCGAGCTATCCGGGCTCTAGCCTGCATCTGTAAGGTGTGTATGAGTCCTGCCTACCTCTTGCAGCGATTGGCCAGAGCAGCCTCTGGAAACAACATCATCACAGGTCTCCAGAAAGAGCTGCCGGGCCGCCGCAAATCCCTCGCAGATGGGCGCGGCCACTTCCTGGAAGGTGGGGCCCAGGAGGGGCATGACGGCGTGGGAGAGGCACTGGGAAATCTCCTCGCACATGTCCTCTGTGGAGTCGGAGCGCGGGCGCAGCTTCAGGTTACCCACAATGCAACACCTCTCAGGTGAAGACGCACCTGGCTGAAACCTGCTCACCTGTAATTCTGTGGGCGATGTGGTCCTGCTGGGCGGTGATCTGTGGCAGGTCTGACCTCACCAGTTTCTCCAGAAGGGGGCGCTGCTGGGCCACCTCTTCCATCAGAGCCCTTATCTCTGCTCTCACCTGGGCACGCACCTGGCTGTACACCTCTGCCTGCAGCTGAACAGGAGAGGCAGCACTGACCTGAGCACTAAATGTGTGTGTGAGGGTGTGTGTGTGTGTGTGTGTGTGTGTGTGTGTGTGTGTGTGTGTGTGTGTGTTTGTGTGTGTGAATGTGTGTGTATGTGTGTGTGTTTGTGTGTGTGTGTTTGTGTGTTTGTGTGTGTGAATGTGTGTGTATGTGTGTGTGTGTTTGTGTGTGTGTGTGTGTGTGAATGTGTGTGTATGTGTGTGTGTGTTTGTGTGTGTTTGTATGTGTGTGTGAATGTGTGTGTATGTGTGTGTGTGTGTGTATGTGTGTGTGTGTGTGTGTGTGTGTGTGTCTGTGTGTGTGTGTGTCTGAGTGTGTAGGTCCATCTTGCCTTGATCCAGGTGAGTCTCTTCTGATTCAGGATCAGTCTGGGGAAGATCTGATAGCGCAGATAGGGCAGAATCTCCTCCATGACCAGACTGGACAACACCTGAGAGAGGGTAGGGACATGATAACACACACACACACCTCTCTCTCACACAGATCCCCTCTCACACACACAGAGACACGCATACACATACACAGACACACACACACACACACACACACACACACACAGCACACACACACACACACACACACACACACACACACACACACACACACACACACACACACACACACACACACACACACACACACACACCCACCCAGTGCCTCACCTCCTCCTCACTGCCCATCAGCAGGACCCCAGGCTGATAGCTGCCCCTCTCCTGCCTGTAGAAACGTACAGCCTCCAGAAACGCTCGTGACTCAACAGTATCTTTCCTCTGGAGAACTGAAAAGTGTCATTCTCTCTCACATGAATGGCAGACAAGAATGATCAAAATCACAAAACTTTTTCCCAAAAAAAAAACATTTTCCATTGTTGCTCCTGTTGTTAGATCTACCTAATACATCTGTAAAATGCAAAAAAGAAATCAAAGACTTTCTATGGTTCCATGTGCATAGGTTTGCAGTTTCGATCTATCAATCCATCACAAACTTTAGGGCAGTTACAGGCCCGCAGAGGAGAAATGTGTGCTCAGGTCACATGATGAGGGTGATGTCGTACCTGTGCTCTGGTGCTGCACCGCCCTCTGCAGAAGCCTGGCCCACAGTCGCTGTGTCTCGCGTGATTCGGCGCACAGACACAAGGGGGCGCTGTATGGGTGCTGAATGAACACGGGGAAGTCCGTGGGACAGTCCCAAAATGGCATCTTTCCCCTGCGCCTTCCTGCGACCCAAAACGCCACCCCACCGCCACCAACAAATCGAAGTTCGTATGTTTGTGTGAGAATATGTGCGGTGTTATTGTGATTTTTAAAACAACAAATAAATTAATCAGTATATCAATCAACCAACACACATACACACGCGCGCACACACACACACATACGGACAGGTCACATGGCAGGAGACTTTAGATACTGCATTAAACATCTCGTCAACAAAAAGGAGAAATGGGAACGGATCAGAGCAGCAAAGTCAATGTGCCTATGTCCTACCTTTGATGTGCCGACATGTTTCATCCACCAGGAGGCGATGTTCCTGTATGGTGGTGCAAATCTGGCAGCCAGAGAGATTTAGATCTCTCCTGCGCTCCCAGCCTCCCTCAAACACCTGTAACATATATCAGAAACATGAACACACACCTGTAACACGCATCAGAAGATCTGAATGCTCACCTGTAATGCACATCACAAATCTGCATCCCCGCCTGTAATGCACCTCATGAACCTGTAACACACACTTGTAACACACACAGTATATCTGAGTACATACCTGTAATGCATGTGGATAACAGTGTGAAGTAAGCTCTGCCTGTATCGTACCTCTTTGGAGTCACGACTCTCCACCGCAAAACTCTTGGTGACCTGTAGGTGGCGTCTTCTCCACTTGCCATCTAGATACTGCTGTAGAGTTCCTTCTAGTATCACCTTGCTGCCTGTAACTGAGTCCTGGAATACAGGAGAGCATAATGAGGGCCAAGCAGGAAAGAAAGATTTAAGAGTATTTGTGAAGAGCAGAAGTAATCTTCAGACCTGGGGATTTCTCAAGTGTCAGAGGAGAATCACTATATAGTAACTGGAATTTGTAAGGACTAGAAGATGATTACTATACAGGATGTGGATCTCTGAAGTGTTAGATTAGGATTATTATGCAGCCATTGGATCTCTTAAGTGATAGAAGAGAATCTGTACATTAGATTGCTTAAATTTTAGAAGATGATTACTATGCAGTAAGTGAATCTCTTAAAAGCTAGAAGATGATTACAATGCAGGAAGTGGATATCTTAAGTGTTAGGGGAGAAATATTATATAGTAAGCGGATTTCTTAAGTGCTATAAGTTGATTACTATGCAGTACGTGGATCTCTTAAGAGCTATAAGATGAGTACTATACAGCAAGTGGATCTCTGAAGTTTTAGAAAGATATTGCTTTGCAGGAAGCGGATCTCTTTAGTGTGTGAAGATGATCACTGTGTAGGGTGTGGTGGCTGTCTTACTTGCTGGTGCAGGAGTGTTGGGGTTCCTGCTGACTCCCTCAGCCCCTCATCATTCTGTTGCTGCTCCAGAAGACCAGCACACAGTTGTTGGTGAAAGTGTGAGGAGAACTCTCTCAGCATGACTGCTGTGTGTCCTGCACACAGACGCACACACACACACGCGCACATGCACACACACATATGCAAATACACACAGACGCGCACACACACACACACACACACACACACACACACACACACACACACACACACACACACACACACACACATATGCAGATACACACAGACGCGCGGGCACACACACACACACATATACAGATACACACAGACGCGCACACACACACACACACATATGCAGATACACACATACACGCACACACACACACACGCATACACACACGTTTGAGTGTACGAGAAACAGCAGAAAACTGTGACACATTTCTGTGTGTGTTTTCTAGAACATCATAATCATTATTGCACTGTTGGGTAAACAAAGCCCTCACCTAGTCAGTCTGTGTCTCTGGTCCAACGAGAGGCAGAGAGAGAAGAGAGAGAGGCGAGAGAGAATTGGGAGAGAAAAAGTGAGGAAGAGAGGAATGGGAGAGGAAAGGAGAGAGGGGGAGGGAGGAAGAGGGAGGGAAAGAACAATGGATGAGGAATAAAGAGAGGGAGAGAGAGGGGTAGAGAGAGTGATGAAGGGAGAAATGGGAGAGGGAGAGAGAAAAAGGGGGGAGAGAGAGAGAAAGAAGGGAAACAACAAAGGCCTCCTTACCTGACAGGTTCTTGCGCTGTCTTGCATCCAGGTGTCTTGATTGCAGTGCTCCCATGTCAATTGGCCCTCTTTGCAAATAAAAAATGAATTAAAAGAAAAAAAAAACACAATCAAAGCCTAGCTGCTTTCAGTCTGTCCAGTTGAACTCCGTGATTCATGCCCAGTTGCGGGTGATACCCAGAGTGATACCTGTCTACCCGTCTATCTATCTATCTATCTATCTATCTGCCTTTCTGTCTGTCTGTCTCTACACTGTGCTGTTCACACATTGCTATCGTCTGTCTCTGGTCCGTCTGTCTGTCTGGTAATATCTGGAGTGTCAGAGAGACAGTCTGATGGGGTGTAGATGCCCCGCCCTGCTCTGCACCACCCCGCCCCCCTCTCATGCCCTGGTACAGACAGACAGACGCCCCATGAGGGGGTACACGGCAGTCCTGCCTCAGGTGAGCCTCTCACGGCATTGTGGGTAATGCAGCTGACGGTGCCGATCCGGTTCTGCAGGGGAAGATGCAGGGGGAGACAGTGCCCCCCCTTCCCTGGTTCGTCTTGCTGGCGGGTGCCCTGATAATAAATGCAGCTGGCAGAACACATCTCTGTTTACCGATCAGCAGAACGAGGAACGAGAACCGGCCCCTTCTCTCCTCTTTCTCTTTCCCCTCTGCACCCTGTGCCTCTCTCTCCCACTCGGTCAGATCAGTTTCAAATTGCACAGCATGTTGCACATACAACATCCTCGCCAAATCTGGTGAGAAAAATAGTATAATGATTATATAAATATATATAATCTGTTAAAACTGAGAGAAATGGGTTGGCTGTAATTGGCTGTGCATTTACTGTAACTTATGCACAAGACCAACAGATTTTATTGGTTGTTTTTGCTACACTCATAATTATTGTTTATCGTCATTTATTATTTTTGGGATTGCAACAACTGATAGCTAAGTGACAGAAATGACATCGCATCAGATTTGAACAAAATTGATTGGATGAACAAATGGAATGTGATCACCTTGGAATCATAGGGTACGCGGCTCTGGGGGTGCGGTCCCCCAAACTGACCTGACCCAGGACATTAGGGTGTGTTAAGCGTGGTGTCGCTGTGGGGGCCAGTTTGGGGTTAGTGTGGGGGGTAGAGTGGGCTCAGTGTGGAGCCATTGTGGGGATTAGTGTCAAGTCAGTGTGGAGCCATTGTGGAGTTGTTGTGGAGACATTATGGAGTCATTGTGGAGACATTATGGAG